GTCACATTAGCCACAACAAGTTTAAAAAGACAAAGGAGGCTACGGAAGGACTACCGAATGTAGTACCTGACACGAACAAGAATTTGTGTGGAGGGTGTCTACAAGGGAAACTGTGTGTCGCGAGTTTTCCACAAGAGTCGAAGACAAAGACAACGCAACCACTGCAGCTTATTCACTCTGACGTCATGGGCCCTATGAAGAACCCAACTCCTAGTGGGTCACGATACGTATTGTCTCTCGTGGACGATTTTTCAAGATTAGTGACTGTATATTTTCTGAAGTCCAAGAGTGAAGTACTGTCGAAGTTCATTGAATTTCGGACCGAGATGGAGCAGCAGTGTGGATTTCGTATTAAGGCCATACGTACTGACAATGGCGGTGAATACAAAAACAAGAGGATTGCTTCGTACTGCAAGAAACACGGCATCATCCATCAGAAGACAGTACCCTACAGTCCTCAACAAAACGGTGTTGCTGAACGGATGAACCGTACGATTGTTGAGACGGCCAGAAGCATGATGCATTACAAGTGGGTGGCAAAGAAGTGGTGGGCCGAAGCTGTGAATACGGCGGTGTATTTACTTAACAGAACCACGAACTGCAATCACGAGGAGAAGACTCCTTTTGAACTGTGCTTTAAGACGAAGCCCGAAATTTCTCACCTACGTGTATTTGGTTCACTTGGATACGCACATATCGATGACTCAAAGCGCACGAAATTCGACGCGAAAGGGTTTCGCTGCATGCTGTTAGGATATGCAAGACACACCAAGGGTTACAGGGTGCTTGATCTGGAGACTGGTACGATCAAGATCAGTCGTTCGATCGCGTTAGATGAACGTGAAGTTAGTAACATTTACGAAGACAATCCGGTTGTACCACACCCGAAGATGATAATAATACGACAAGATGACGATGATGGAGATCAACCAAGTAACTTGCAACAAGATGGTGATGAAGATGTTGAAATGGAAGAGCACGAAATTGTCGAAGATGTGGAGATGGAAGTACCGAGTTCTGACAATGACATCAGTAACACACCTTCGAGTGAGACAAGCAATCATTATCTTGCAAGAAATATGAACAACGAACAACATCAACACACTTCCCAAGTAATTCAACAAGGACCTCGTCACCAAGAACTCGAATTACACAATCCGCACGACTCTGGAACGATGGTGTTCCGTCCACAACTTAAGCGTCGTTCCGGTCGCGAGCATCAGTATCGTGTTCTTACCGACGATGCCAGTGGGAGAAGTGAATCCGGACCACGAGGAGGTGTTGATGAAATGCTACCAATTGAGCAACCTGTTCAGCTCTTGTTGGAAGACAATAACACTAGTACCACAACAGAAAACATCATTGTGCCATACAATGAAAACCATGAAGCCAGTGGGAGTGAAGATGACGAACCTCCTTCCAAGCGATCGCGAATAAACAGCGATGTGGCATTGATAGCAGAAGTTGCCATGATAGCTCGTGATTTACCTGGCTCTTATGCGGAGGCAGTGAATGGACCTGACAGATACCAATGGATTAAAGCTATTGAGAATGAATTTGCGGCTCATGAGCGTAACAAGACGTGGACACCAATTGTACGCAAGCCTGGAATGAAACCAATTGGATCGAAGTGGGTATGGGCTAAAAAGAGTGATGGTCGATACAAAGCACGACTTGTGGCGCTCGGATTCCTGCAACAATATGGTATCAACCTTTTCGAGACGTACGTGGCTGTCGCCAGTATGAACTCCATCAGGATGCTATTGTCGATTTGCTGCGCAGCAGGATATGTGATCGACCAGCTTGATGTTGATACGGCCTACCTGAATGCCGACCTACAAGAAGAAGTATACTTGTTACCACCCAAAGGGATGAAAATTGGCAGCGAGTTTGTACTTAAATTGAATCGCGCGCTTTACGGACTTAAGCAGGCTGCAAATGCCTGGAATAAGACGATTCACAATGCATTACTGGAGATGGGATTTGTCGCGTGCGGTGCTGATCGATGCATATACAAGATAAAGGATGGTGAAGGCTGGGCGTACGTGTGCTTATACGTTGATGATATGATTGTGGCTGCAAAAGAAGCAACCACGGTACGCAAGGTGAAAGAACAAATCTCTCAGCGGTTTCAAACCAAAGACCTTGGTCCAGTGAAGCACTTGCTTGGAATGGAAGTTATGTACGACCGAAAGAAGCGTGAGATGTTTATTTCGCAACAAAGATACATCGAGGAGACTGCAGACATGTTTGGACAGACTCAAGCCCGACCAACTGGTAACCCATGTGATCAGAGCATAAAACTGTCCAGCGCAAACAGTCCAAAGTCCGATGTCGAAAGACAAGCCATGAGTCGTACACCGTACCGCCAATTGCTGGGACGACTGCTGTTTATAGTGACCACGACCAGACCAGACGCAGCATTTCCTGTGAGCCAACTTGGACGATTTGCGGAAAACCCTGGCTCACAACACTGGAAGGCACTGATCAAAGTGCTAAGATACCTCCGCTCGACGAGTGGTTTTGGATTACACTACAGTGTTGACAAACTACAGCAACAACTAACAGCGTATAGTGATGCCGATTGGGGAAACAGCTTGGACGACCGTCGATCGGTATCTGGTGTTTTGCTGGTGCTTAATGGAGGCCCTGTTATATTTAAGTCTAAGTACCAACGCACCGTTGCATTGAGTACTTCTGAGGCTGAATACATGGCGCTAAGCATGTGCACTCAAGACATACTATGGGCAAGGATGTTAATGGCTGACCTCGGATTCGAGCAGAAGAATCCTACTGTCATCTACGAGGATAATCAAGGAGCCATTGCTCTCGCAACAAACCCAGGATACCATGCGCGGACTAAACACGTAGACATACGTCACCACTTTGTCCGAGAGAAAGTTCTGGCCGGTGATATAAAGGTGATCTACAAGGAGACGGAACATCAACTTGCCGACATACTAACGAAGGCACTCGGCACCAAGCGATTCCAGTACCTCCGTGCCGGAATGGACATCAAGGTACGTGATGAACCCGAGCATCAACAGTGAGTGGGAGTGTTGATGGGTGCACTGTCAATGCACGGTCAACAAAGCCAACTGTGATTTGCTACGCACAAGTGACAAGACAGCGATGATACGACAGGGTGTAAACGGTTCACGTGCAGTCTGATGATTCTAGAACTACCTTGAGTGTATGTTCTAGAATCCATCAAGATCAGGGAAAGTTACAAGGTAGAAGAAGATAACACGACGAGTAAGTTCATAGGAAAACTAATTCAATACACTTTCCAATTTTCCTTCGACATAACAGAAAACATCTGTTTGATATGACGAGGCGAAAATCGTGGAGTAGTCTGTTTTTTTCTGTCGAGTCAATTTATAGGGGTACGCTTTTTCTCTCTTGGTGGGTAACCAGCAGATTCAACGGTGTGGCGCGTTTTCTTGTGGCCGACGCGAGATGCGGCAAATGTTTTGGGTCAACGGCGCTCAAACGACTGCGTGGGCTGCGGAGATGTCAGAACGGACAGACTGACCGTTTGTGTTTAGTCAAAACAAAACAACGATAAAACCTCAGCGGATAAATGCGTGCGCGGACATATGAACAGGATGCTACTCGGTGCCGTAAAAAGCACTTTGTGCGTCACAGTGGAGTCACCGAATGCAGCATGTTGCAAGCCACATGTTGTTGCCGAACTCATGACAAGAGAGAATGGGTCGGATGCCGGAACGCAGCACAACTGGCACTCTTCCTGATAGTTCATGCACTCTCGTCGATTGCTAGCGCTACCCCAACGCGCTCTAAGCTCCATTGAAGTATGTGGGGCACCTTGAAAGCCCCGACATGTCTGCCTGAACAAAAAAAGTATCGTCGCGTCATCGTGGTCCCGAACCCGAATCAGACCGAGCTGTACCTTCAACGTGCCGCTTACTTACCGCTTGCTAAGTAATCGGCATGTCAGAGGTCATGCAGCAAGAAGTTCGAGCCAGTCGTCCTCACAACTCGTGTGGCTTTACATCGTTGCAAATTCGACACGCGAACAACGGCTGTGGTTCTCACGCCGTCCTATCGAGTTACCACATCATCGACCGTGTCTATCTTCGGCGGCATCGAAGCTGTCATAATTGTGTATCTATAGGCTGCTTTGACGTTGTCGAAAAGGTTGCACTCGATCTTATAGTCAGAGCCGTAGCTTCTGATGCCGACGGATAGTGCCTTTGATTGCAAGCAACTACAGGTCAGCGGTGGATGGAACGGCAATTGTGCTGCGCTTGACTGTAACTTCTTGACGAAGAGCTGGTGACCGCATGAGTGCAATCTTTCTACGGCCCGGAGAGCCGTAGTTGTTGTCGTTGTAGTAGTCGTTGATGATGCTGTGTCAAAGCCGTGTGTCGTCATCGTTTCTAGCTGCAGCTTTTTTGCCGCTTTGGAGCTGCTTCATCGACCCTCGAGACGGCAGCAGAGGCCCAATCGATCGCCATTTGTACAAGAAGCGGTCAATCGTCTCCACTGTCTCAACTGCTTTGGCCGCAACACGTATCCTAACGGACGGTATGATCGTTTGCCGTGTTCTGATGAATGTGACGTTCAGGTGCATCGTCGACTGATTCGCGTCCAGTGTCACACACTCGAGGTCGAGGCACTGACTCGCTCGACCGCGCTCAGACTTCATATCGGTTATGATATACACAGCAGCTCATGTGCTGGTCATAACGGCCGGCACATCTCCGTGTCGCACGTACCGCAGTTTGTCCATGGAGGTCGACCGAGTGGAAGACGATGTCGCAGGTGCGTGTGCAAAAACGAGACTCGACGTGACACGCGCGACCACGCGACACTTTTGACGCTTATATTCGACCAATCAGCGGCGATCTCTACAGCGCCCGAGTCAGAGGCCACTCCTGCTGTCGCACCGGCAGCGACGCGAGCGACAGAGAGAGAGAGCGCGCGCGAGCGACACAGAGAGACGCAGCAGCCGCAGCCGCAGTAGCAGTAGCGCAATGGCAGTGCTGTCCAAATCCGACGCCGTGTCTGGCGTCGCGTCGATCGCTTCTGTGGTACGTCGCTCGGTCTCTGAAGAGGACCCACAAGCACTTGCGTACTGTATGGTCGAGTTGACCGCCCCGTTGTGTCCGGTATTTGTTGTCCCATCTGTGCACAACTACAGATCGCACTGGCGATTGCCATCCGCGAACATGGACAGAAGAAGGCGAACGCAGGTTTCCAGACCCAGTCCGAGTATATGACGCAGAAACAGGGCAGTCGCCATCGAGTGGCAGTGAACAAGGACTTTTACCGCCGCTTTGTGCGTCTCTTCAGAGTGATTGTGCCCGGTCCGTTCACGGCCGAAACGGGCTTTGCTGCGCTTGTAGCAGTGATGCTCGTAGCACGCACGTCGTTTGACATTCTCGTGCTGCACACGTTCACTGCTGTTGAACGAGCTATTGTCTCCCGCTCACAGACGGATTTTGTGCGCCACTTGCGGCGCTTTGTTGCTATTATGCTGCCCATGAGTTGCGTCAATAGTTTGCTCAAGTACGGCCACACGGAGCTCAGTCTGCGCTTTCGCACGAGACTTACGCGGCACTTGTACGAGCAGTACGTCAAGGGGTTTGTCTACTACCGAGTGTCTAATCTGGACAACCGCATTTCCAACGCCGATCAGCTGCTTACAGTGGACGTGGAGCGGTTTTCCAACTCGGTTGCTGACTTGTACTCGAACATGTCGAAGCCACTGTTGGATATCGTTCTCTACGCAGTGAAACTCTCGTCGACGATCGGTGTCGAAGGCCCAGTGATCATGTTGAGCTACTTGATCGTGTCAGGCTTCTTCCTCACGTGGTTGCGACAGCCGACCAGTCGCTTCACGATCGCGGAACAACAGATGGAAGGCAACTTTCGCTACATGAACTCGCGGCTCATCACGCATAGCGAGGAGATTGCATTCTACAACGGCAATGTCCGCGAAAAGCGCATTTTGGACCAGTCGTTCAACCGCCTCATCGATCTCGTGCGCAGCTCACAGCAGTTTCGGTTCTCCATGAGCGTCATTGACAACGTGGTGGCCAAATATGCGGCAACGGTTGTCGGCTACGCTGTGTTGTCGAAGCCGTTTTTGGACATGTCGAACCAGCGACTGGAAAACACGACGTATGCAGACCGAATGGAAGAATACTTTCGATCTGGAAAGATGTTGCTGAAAATGTCAGAAGCAATGGGCCGTCTCGTGCTGTCCGGGCGCGAATTGTCGCGCCTTGCGGGGTTTACAGCGCGTGTTGCGGAGATGATTGACGTTCTGTTCGATCTGGACAAGGGAAAGTACCAGCGCACAATGCTGAAAAGTGAGAGTGGGGACGTTGTGAGCGAAAGCAAAGCGCAATCCACTTCAGCGGAATCGCTTGGACTGTACCCGAACCAGGGCGAAATCCGCTATCGTGATCATGTCATTGAGTTTGAGGACGTGCCACTTGTGACGCCGAATGGTGACGTTTTGGTACCTTCGCTCACGTTTAAGGTTCAGTCAGGAATGAACGTCGTTGTCGCAGGACCCAATGGTTGTGGCAAAAGCTCGCTCTTTCGTATTCTGGGCGAGCTGTGGCCAATGTTTGGCGGTCGGCTGACGAAGCCAGAGCGCAACGGATTGTTCTACATCCCCCAGCGTCCATACTTGACGCTAGGCACTCTTCGCGATCAGGTTATCTACCCTCATTCGCTTCAGGATATGCAGGCATGTGGGAGGACGGACGGAGAGTTGGCGCACTACCTTGAGAAGGTCCAGCTGGGTCATTTGGTCGAACGCGAAGGCGGATGGGATGTCGTTCACGATTGGGCAGATGTTCTCTCTGGCGGTGAGAAGCAGCGTGTGGCCATGGCACGCTTATTCTACCACAAGCCTCAGTTTGCTATCCTGGACGAGTGTACGTCCGCCGTCAGTGTGGATGTTGAAGGGGCAATGTACAGCTTCTGCCGCGAGCAGAACATCACACTCTTCACTGTGTCGCACCGCAAGTCGCTGTGGGCGTACCACGAGTTTGTGCTCCGGGTGCGTACTAGAATCTTGATCTTTAGTGCAGTGTTCTGTACTAACGCTTACGCTTGTTCCTGGTTTCCTGTGCAGTTTGATGGTCGCGGCCACTACGAGTTCAAGAAAATTGACAAGGCCGACGAAGCGTTCGGCTCTTAGATGCACTCCTCTGTGGTCTGTTCAGACCAGAGGTTGCTAATGTTGTCGACGTAGAGCGCTTTGTGTGTTCAGAAACTTGGACCAAGAATCATCACGACCTTGTTACAACTCACGCCCATTTTGACGCCAGCTTTGATCAGACACGAGGGCAGAGCACGAACGCGCTGCACGGAGCTCTAGCCGCAGGATGCAGGACCATATAGCTCACCCTCATCGATGACTTGATTCTGTGTCTGCTGCGTAGGAAGTTCGTGCGTCAGACGTGGCGTTGTGCTCTCTCATCCTCAAGCTCTCGACAACATGAGCCTGACACCGTTGCAGCGTCTGCTCTGTAGCAGCGTTGAAAGACAGCGTAGAGGGTTTACATTGAAGCAGCGTGAAGTGACAGCGAAGACACACAGCGCTTGCTGGTCAAAAGTTGACAGACCCTAGAGCCAAAGGGAACTAAAAGGCACCTACAAAGTGATGATGACATGCAGCCAACAGGTGCAAACCGAGTACGCCTCCATCGCCACTACAACTAAGATGTCGAACAGTTGACAGCGCTCCGGTGATAACGAGATCCAAAACCCATCCTCCAGGCCGATGGACCACGCAACGGTAGTAACGTACTGCGCAGCCAGTTCAACGGAGATACTCAGTGATGTGTACCATGTGCGTCTAACACCTTAACTTGTTCAAGTCGTAAGCCCTAGAATCAGGTTGCAGGGCGTCGTCTCACGGCTGTATCCCACGTCGCCTGACTGCTTGTCGGAAAATGCCGCAAAACGACGTCAACATGCTGCAACAACTCCCTCCTCACTCGGACTGGAAAACACGTTCGGTGCAGACCCGGCGCATCTCTTGCACAACGTCAGCGAGAGCAACCGCCACCACATCATAAGACATTGTGACCATTATCTATCCTTCGTAGCGGATTGACTATAATGTGTGCTCAGCATGCACTTCTCCGTTGCGTACAGCATATCGTCCGTTGCCTGAGCTGACGTGCCAGCATGAAATTGCAGCTGACTGGTGCACGCTTTGTCGCCACGCTACGTTTCGTAGGATCTCGTCCCGACACCGATGCAATGATAGGCAATGGATTCTGCAGACCCGTCTACTGCAAATAGCGGACACATCTACTGAGGCCCTAGAACTACTCGTCGAAGGCGTTCTAGACCACATAAACGCCCTTGTGACTGACTACGCTGCTAAGAAGGTCCTGCAATGATGCCACGCCTTTACTATTATCGTTGCAGCGAAGTTGCCCACAAGCAGACACTGACAGTAGCACAATGATGCGAGCTCCAAGCGAGAATCGTAGCGCTACAATGGTTTCTTCCTGCAACAGCAGATCGATGTAACTGAGCTCGCGTGACTTGACGCAGCGTTGCACATGGACTTTCGCTTTTGATCGCTCGCTGACGTACAGTAACGTCACTTTACTTCAACAACAACTTCTTGCCGTCAGTGCACTCACCTTCATGTGTCATGCTGGAGCATTGCAAGATGTAGGCGGTATATCGAACATGAACTCGCTATCAAAAATCGCAGTGCGCAGTCGTGTTGAAATATACTCTCTCTCTCTCTGACAGGTCGAAAGGTCCTGCAGTTCAAGTGCAATACCTGTTGCAGGTAAGTCCGACCTCACCTGATGGGCTAATTATGCGACAGGTTGACACATGGGACGAAGAGAGACGGACGCCATGTACAGGTTACACAGGGACGAAGAGACGGAGATCATGTGCAACTCGACATGGTCGAGTTGCAGTTCCGTTTTGGTTTATGCATGACGTAGTGTTGACAAAGCGAGTAATTAACACGTAATGTGTTTCACTTTTACTTCCATCCTCTTTTGCGCAAGTACAAATGCGACACCTACATCTCATAGAACGAACATGATAGTAGGACTGACACGTGCTCATGAACGTCTAGTTGATAGTGTACGCCATCGCTTATTCACCTTATTCATGTTCCTATGGCACGGACGGCATTCGATACGCCAACGGTATACTATCTCTTATACTCTTCCTACAAATGGGTTCCTTGTGTTGCATTGCTGATGTCATAGACGAACGTAACTTGATGCTTCAAGACTTTCCGACCGTCGAAGCAACAACTTGCTTGCCTGCATGTATGTATGCAAGTCCAACAAACGCGCCGTGTGTGCTTCGGCTCAAATGACTTTCGGCTCGGTGGATAGTCCTTGTCACATCAGTTTCTACGACCTTCTCCTTTTGAAGATGTCGCAATAGTGGACATCGAAAGCCTTATCCATTGCACAATTGTCAGTCACATTCGTGCGAAATGTAAAAAGTTTCAGCACAGAGGCAAACGGAGTCTTTGACGCAACAAAGGCTTGCAACTCGCCCAGCAACTTTTCCAACACACCACAGCATACATCTTGTAGCGTGCACTAACTCTTTTTACGAACAATATAAAGCAGGCGCTCACATCCGGTGCTATCAATGCGTCGATATCTAAGAACGAGAAAATTGACAAATTTGCAGAGAGATGCGGTATATCCTAGGTTAGTACAACCATCTTCTCAGCCATTTGTACGGGTCAAAGTAGCTTTCTTGTGTGCCCAATCCGTTATATAAAGCTTTACGCTGCCACATTTTCCAGGCTGACAAAAGCCGCGTCTGAATACGACTTGTCAACACCATCACAAATACGTGGAGCCACTAAGAATCACTTGATTGTGTATTACTCTGCGGTGACTATCTACCAACATTTAAGAGCGTCTCGGCGTTATCATATCAATAACATTTGCTATTTCTTCGTCCCCGAAACTCTGTCCTTGTCCTCAAACATAGCCCACTTTTTGCGTCAATCTTCTTGATTGTGTAATATTCTGCACTGTCAATCGTCACGCCTTCCAAAACCCATTAATCGAAGAAAGAGGCAAGGACCTCTTCAGCATCCGCATATGTCCTAGAAACGACTAACTTGTCCAATCGCATGAGAGCGCAAGCGATGTCGTCGTCGAATCCTTAACATCTTCTCACTCCCATAATACCACGAAATGGGCACGTCCATGTTGTTTTTATCCAGCCTCTGTCTTTGCGTGCTAATATGAAACTGATACCAGTTCGATACTATGCATTTGTAGCCTTTCCTGATCGCTACTATCTTCAAATATCGCTCATCCACATCGCGGTCGCCGATGGCGTCCCTACCGTGAGCAATCGCGCGTGATCTAAAAACCCCAATGTTGCGTGGAACACTTCACGTCTCCCATCACCTTCCGACCCTATTTCTTGACCGTGTTGTGGTCACTGCAACCGCAAGAGAGCACACAGACTGTCAAGCTTGTGAAATCTAGCGCCTTCGTCAGTATATCCGCGATCATCTGGTCCGAAGGTACGAGTTTGGCATGACAATACCACGTCTCGCTTGATCGCATGCGAGCTTCACCCTCATTTCGATATGTTTCTCTGTAGTACCTGGTGACTTGCCTTCCAAAATTTTGATAGCATCCTGACTGTCAACTATCATCGGTATAGGGGTTACAATGACCATGCCCAGCTCCTGCAGCAAAATTAGGACTCCAAGTAGTTCGCGTACCGCGTCTGAAGCTGCGACGGATTCAGCTTTCATCGTGGAACGCGAAACGCCAACCTTTTCTTGCAAGTATAATCGACAAGCATGCCATTCAACATCGTAAGGGCCCCGGTCAACGACCGACGGTCTAACTTATCCGCTGCGAAGCGAGCATCGCTGTAAGAGGTAAATCTCAGTGAACTTTCAGCATGCAGATCAGTGGCTATGTGCTGCTTGAGTGTTTGGATTCCCTTCAGGTAGCGTATGATTTGCTTTGCTAAATTCCAATCGTAAAACTTTGGCTGATGCGTACGTCTAGTTGCCTTGTGGACAGAAAGGGCGATATCGGGACGAGTGCAGCGCGCCACCAAAAGTATGCTGCCTACCAGGGGCTGAAAGAGTTTTAAAGTTGGCGGTTTTTTGCTCGCGTGTGCCGGTAGTAGATCTTCGTTGTCAAAAGACACTTCGTAGCATTCTTCACCAATTGGTGTGCGTACGGTATTAATTTATCCGTCTTAGCACTGCAAAAAATTTCATATATGCTTTTTGCTGGTCGATGACATATCCCTCGTTCTCAAGTGTCTCCATTCACATACCCAGAAGTTTACTTGCTTGTACAAGTTGATTGATCGACAACGATGCAAGACTGACAAACAACTCTTCGATCAAAGTAGCGCGTGTTGACGTCACTAACAAATCATCGGCATGAACACCGAGAACTGTAATGTTCACCCCAATTATTTTGCAATAAAGACACATATCCGTGATGCAACGCTTGTAGTCAGCTGCAGTTGGTTTGTCATGAAGTAATTTACTCCATTATCGACCGGCCTGCTTTATGCCATACAGTGTCTTCTTCAATCTCAGAACGACTTCTTTGCCACTGATAACTCCAAATTGTTGAAACTCTTGAATGGCAATCACCATTTACCTGATTACGCGTATGTAAATGTGGTATAGTAGTAGGTTAATTATGTAATATAACAGTCTCAACGTACATTCACAACAATCGCCGAGTTAAGTCGGCGCACGGGCTGGTACGTTTGGATAAATCCTCCCGCAGTTCGCCCCTTTGGGGTTCAGTTGTGGCTCTCGCCAAACTTATCCCTTACGACCAATAATTCCAGAGGCCTGCTCTGAGCTCAGCAGATTCTAACCCTTTCGCTTCCTGTGACTTCACACCAAAGGATGGAAGCCGACGCTTACGCGTTTTGACAGGTCACCGGGCGCAGTGTCCGCCCGACTAGAAGGTTTTCGGTACCCTCGGCTGAGTCCCACCGGCTTGTCGTTCGACAAGACCTTTCAACGGTGCCGTCATTTGGGTCACCGGCTTGTCGCTTGACAAGTCTAACAACGGTCTCTTCACTAGGTTTACCGGTTCGTCGACGACGAGACTCCTTCTTTCGCCAGTAGCGAGCGCTGCCCAACTTGGGCCTTCCTAAACTCTTGGCGCTACCAGTCGATACCTCTAA